CCCCCGCACTGACACAGAAGACACTGAGACACCTGTTAAAGACTATTTTTTACTTACAAACTAAAGACACGTTTCTTAAAGGAGAACTATGAGGTGAGTGCTTTTCACTCACCTCATAGTTCTAGCCGACCTGTGACAATGAGACTGTCACAGGTCGGCTCAGTAGATCGGGAGGTGAGCGAACACATACCGGCGTTCGCTCACCTCTCGATCCTGTCACGGCTCTCTGCCGTGACAGGGGAGGGGCTGGATTCCCCGCTCCGATCCGCCAGCACTGACTGGCGGAACGGACGGGGGAGGCGACGGGTACAGCTGGCTCTGCCTCTTGATAGGCAAAGCCAGCTGTCAGTCACGCAGCTGGGCGGATGCCGGCATAATTGTCGGGATCTGCTTAAGCTGCGGTGTCTCGGTATACCGCAAGCAGCAGCTCGCGGTATACTACGGCGTCTCAGTTTACTGAGCCTAGGGTGACGGGAGGATGCTAGTTTGTGTCCTCCCGTTACCCTGAGGAGAACTATGGGGAAAAGCCTTAATCCCATAGTTCTCCTTTTAAGCATCTTATACTTCTGTTGTAAGATTTACTATATTTTGTAATCATAAAGCATCTTATAGACTCATTCTTTAAGATATACCATTTCCTGTAATAATTTGTAACTTTGCAATTAAAACACATTTTGAACTTTATGCAAGTACGGAAGCAATCTTCTCTTTGAACTTCTTCCACCCTATGCTTCAAGAGAAGGAATATGACATTAAAAAAAATCATATTTCTACAACTCTAAATCTGTATTTAGCACATAGCATTATTCCAAATGTCAGCGGAATAATTGATTTTCCACTTTCAGATAGAAATTAGAGAATGTGAGTATGCGATCCTTCAATGGTTTTCCAAAGTAAAGATGAGCAGATATTACCAATTGCCTTGTAGCAGCTAATTGGTGCTTTTATAAATAAAAAGACTCCCCCTGGCTGTAAGCAATAGGGGGACACTCGCATACTTTACCTTCCTTGGACTTATCTCAGTAGACCATCCCTGCATGGATTTCATTATTCATTTGATATATATTAAACCCCTCATTATAAGGCTGATTTTAAAATGGTGTTAAAAGACAACTTCACTTTTAGTAAACCTGTCCTTTTAAATGTTCCCAATCAGCTGCTGAGTCGCAACCACCTACCTAAATACCTTCAGCCCCACTCCCAGATTATTTACTGTGTTGCCCTGCTTGGCTTCACATAGCCTTTGCTGGAGAAAGTCTTGGCCACATCCAGCTCCTACTGCGCATGTGTTCTGCTCTGCCTATTCATTCCTATGGCTGGTCCATAATTTAGGCAGCCCCCAAACATTCTCAGGAGTACAGCTTCAGCCATAGGAATGCATTGGGTGTGTGCTGTGTGCATGCGCAGTAAGATCTGGATGGGGCTGGACTGAAAATGTTCTGTGGGGCTGAGCAGGGATCTGTAGTTAGGAACTCAGAAGTGGGGCTTAAAGGAGAAGTATTTGGAGAGTAAAATATAGTCTTCCCAATACTTAGAGCTGGTGTGGGAGTTGCATGATCAAGATTCAGCTGACGGTCTTCCTGCAGAGGGAAGTGACCGCCATTCACCGCTCCCTGCAGGGATTCCTTCTACCTCTCTCTGCTACTCCAGCACTCATTGGAAGGACAGACAGGGCAGAGGACGGGCACAGTTGGTTCTGGCTCCAGAGAGGCTCTAGAACAGCTGTGAATTGCAACGGGGTGGATCCAGACAGTATTGTCGGGGTCCTTCCTGGCTGCATTGTGGCTCTGTGCTGTCGGCAGATAGTGGGCAGTGGACAGCTATATGCTGACTTGGGCTCACAGGAGTATATTATGAATGTAAACCTGTTACTCAAAAGAAAAGTAAAGCCAAAAAAAGGTTTGACTTTAGTTCTCTATTAAGGTAAGTATTTAGGGAGATGGTTTTCACTTAATGGAGTGAAGTAAAGTTGTCCTTTTAAGAAAAAGTGCCTGTTGTACCCATAGCAACTCCAGCTACGATTTTCTTGTACAGGTCGGAAAATAAGAGTATAACTTTTCTCTCCATTTCCCTTTTCTATCTTATGTGTATATTTAAAGCCCTGGGAGGAATTTTCTTCCATTCTATGTCCTCACCAGCCATATCCAAGCAATATATACATGATGTGTATAGCTGCCCAAATATGAAACACTTAACTTACCCTTCACACACACCTGCTATGTGCCTGGTGGAAAAAAAAGGAATGTATAGGAAATGAGACGAGCATTGCTTAAGCTAACCATCATTTAGTTCTCAGATATGATCTTAGGAAAACACTGACTTTTCCTGACAAAGGTAGGAAGGGAATTATCTGAGAATTTGATGCTTGCTGGAAATGACTTGTAACCTCCGCAGCCAGTGGATTGCAATCTGTTCTAGAAATCATAGGACTTGAGATCCGTCAATCCTAACTGGAATGTGTACGTATACGTTTCCATAGATTGGACTAACTTTGTGTGTGATTTGAAGATAAGGTGCGGGGTTTCATTTTGTTATACAATTGGAATGTTGACACAGTTTGTACAAGAGCAAAGTAGACTCCTCTTCTTCTTAAGGGGAAACTATAGTGTGTTTCAGTGAGGAAACCTGTTCTGAAATGGTCACCTGACCGTAATTGTACAACTTTTATACGGTATTTGCATTCTTATTCATTATTTTTACATTTTTTTGTATATATGAATTTATAGATTCTCTATTTAGTGCACAGTGGCACACAGTGTGATTATGTGATATTACTTACTAGTGGCTACATGCTATTGTGTAGACCCTTGGTTCTCAACTGGTGGGTCGTGACCCAAAAGTGGGTCGCGACCCTGTGTTCAGTGGGTCGCGGGCATGCCTTCCACTTTTCCAGGCGACAGGCTCCTCAACCTTCTCCTAGAGCAGCACTTTCAGTTCTCTCGCCACACGGCCATTCAAAATATGCTGCCCGACACAAAGTGTCAGCTTGAGGTGGGGTGGGGTGGGCTGGGGGTATGGGCACGAGTGAGCTCCATCCATACGTGCATTGCTTACAGCTCCTTCATGTGTCCTATAGAGGTGCCTTGACTGGAGTGACATCACATTCTGGCTCCCGGCACCTCTACAGGGTGCACAAGGGAGGTGTACAAGCAATGCACCTATGGATGGAGCTCCGTCACAGCACAGCAGCCCACACAGGACTCCAGGCTGAGGATCCTCTCCAGTTCTCGGAAGGTATGGAGACTGGGTGGATCTTAATTTTTTTTTTACATTGTCTGTGTGTGAGATTGTGTCTGTGGTTGTGCATGTATGTCAGTGTTTTTGAGGGCCCATTCACACTAGTACCGTGCGATTAACACACGGTACCATGCAATCTCAACTACCGTCCATTCTGGTGTGGGAGGTGTGTTGCGTTGCCATTCATTTGAGGGGTACCCCAAATGCACCTCCCACCCACACGCCCGCATCGTAACGCGCGGTACCCAATGCCGTGCATTCCATTGCAGTGCGACTTGGGTCGCGACTTAACGGCCAAGGACAAATGTGGGTCCTGAGATTACACAGGTTGAGAACCACTGGTGTAGACATCCAAACGTTCCATCTGCTAGGGACTGATTACTGCTCTAATTAACCCTTTTATGATCAGAGGTCATTAATGCTTAGATGCTCAGACAAGGTTAGCAGCAAAATAATGCATTAACTTAATAAGAACTCTGATTTATTTGCCTACCTGAATAATGTTTATATTTTTTAAGGACATAAAAGTGTTGTATTTGGTACACTGGTTTAATAAATTCCCTGCATATTTTTTTGTTATTAAAAGCTGAGAAATATTTAAAACAATGCAATTTACACCTAAAAGCTTATAATATATATTTTTTTACTTTTGAATCAATTTTTACTTCCCTTTTGCAGACTCTTAGCATCACAATGCACCGTGGATTAACAATCCCTTACCAAGGGGTATCACGCTAAGGAAAAAATACAAACTGCAGGTGTGAATTAGATAATGAGCAAATTCCTCCATGCACATATGGAAATACAGACCATACAATCATACATAGAAACAAGGTTTTTAACCTGTTACCGGTGGTGTGATGCATATATGCAGTGGCAGGGCAGGTGGGCCTCATCTCTGAGCTGCTGTATATTTGCATCAAGTGACTGCTGTTCAGTGCTGAGATTGCACTCACTAGTGGGATGGCCTCCTGATCATGTGACCACTGTGACAGCTGATTACATGATTTAGATGGCCGCCTTTTGGAGAGATAAAGCTTTCATACGTTTTTATAACCTTTACATCCCTCTGAACTATTTTACAAGTATAAGTAAAGGAACGTTATACTCCTTTTTTGTTACTCAGCTTAGTGTGGGATGCATTAAAGGTGTTCAGCACTAGCCAGAGCAATACTGGTAACTGTATTATTATCTACATACTCTATAGTTACATAGGGACATGTCAGGTCTCTAATGCTGGGGATCTGTAGCTAGCAACATAACATAGCTTTAGTCGTTGACCATTGTCACAAAGAAGTGATTTGTTGCAGCTACAGGTGCTACATCATTACTTTAGTATTCGCTTCTACAAATCATTCTCTGGCAGTGATTTTTTTTTTAGCTAAGCCATAGTGGAGAGAGTTTGTGACTGATGAGCTTGTAGCAGACATGAAACACTGTACAACCTCAATCGCTGAACTGCAAGTTAGTGATTCAATAGAAAATGACTGATTTCCTCAGCAATTATTCCGCTTCTTTTTTTCTGAAGCCTTCAGGCTTGTCATGTGACAAGCAGGACCCTCTTCATCTTCATCTGTTGTTCAGTTTTATAAAGACTGGGCCATACAAAACAAAAAGGCAAATTTTATGTAGAGTTGTACATCATATTAATAGTCATTAAACTATTTATGTGGAAGATCTAATTTTATAAGAATGTATTTCAATTGTTGGTTTGATTAAAGGCTAAACCGTACGCATGAAGTTTTACATTTTTATCCTGGTAGATACTGCTAGATAATCCAGAGCGTTTAATCCCTCGTGCTAATCCCGACGACAAGGGCTCATATAGTGTTCCTCAGGAGAATATCGATCAGGTAAGAAATATTTGCTTTTAAAAAGAAGAAAAAAAGATTATTTGCATTCTTAATGCATAAATCAGTAATGATATTGAATTGTTTATAGAAATGTTCTTCAATGTGGTACCATTTAATAAAAGAAATACCACATGTCGGGCATGAGGTGGTTTATTTGCTGGACACAGATGTTTGTTGGGTGCAAAAATGCAATAAATATTACTAATAAATTATTAAAGACAGGCTTTCAACATCTTGCACTAAGATTGCAAAGTCAAAATACCACTTTTAAATTGGGTAAATAATAATATATAAATATTAACAAAATGATGATCGTAATAATAATATAATTTATAAATTAAATAAATATGAATAAAATAAATGGTAAATAAGAGATTGTAATAAATACTATTGACTCTTTTAAAATATAGATGATCCTTATTCACTTTAACATCCGCAGCATGTTTCTGTTCACAAAGGGCTGTGGAAACCTTTTCTCTACTATTTGCTCAAGAAAATCTTTAATATTTTTTGGCAGTGAACAAACACAGTCTCTCCCAATCCAAGCTGTCACATGAGACAGTTTAAGTTTGCTAAGCAACCACCTGGATCTCACAAGTCAGGACATCAATCTTCCCCAGCCCAGCATCTCTTTGCACATCAGGGAAGTGGTGCAGGCTTAGGATATGCTGAGCTTGCAGGCTGTCACTGGTCAGGAGATTGCTGATAAATAGGACATGGTAAATACACATAAGGAGGCAATAAAGCTTGCTTGGCTGTGGCTCATGGAATGAGGAGAAAGTGAGATGGGATGAGTCTAGAATTTATTATCAATAGATCAGGTTAATATTTCCCTTCCAGTTTCTGAACTGATGTTTTGTGTGCTCACATCCACAAATACTTTCTATATACACCGATCAGACATAACATTATGACCACTGAAAGGTGAAGTGATCTCATTACAATGGCACCTAGAAGTGGGTGAGATATATCGGGCAATAGCCTGCTAAATGCTGACTTTTTGGGACACGGGGACATTAGTAAATATCCTCCTGTGACCCTAAAGAGAACTACGGCCAAAAAAGGTTTGGCCATGGTTCTTTTACTTCCCTGGGGTGTCTCATGCCAGTCCATATCCCTTGTCAATGTTCCTCCTGGTCCAAGACACACGGGAGTGCTCGCTAAGAGATGGCATAGTTGATGTTGTTTTAAGAAATGATTAATATGATTACAGTAGTACTGCTTTTACACATGATCCTCCATGTTTCTCCTGAAGAGGTCCACGAAACATGTTGAGAACCCAGAACAGCTTCAAACCAGTTCCAAAAGCATATGCAATATCTAGGGATGCACCGATAACGAGTATTCGGGTGAGTTCTCGTACTTGCCCAAATGCTCCGATACCTTCTCTGATACCGGATCTTCCGGTCAGAGGAAGATTTCCTCTGACCGGCAGTACCGTAGGGGAACATGGAGCCAGCTTCCCGGGCAATAAGGAAGCTGGCTTCCTGATTGGCCGAACAGCCGGCTGCTTGCTAATTGGCTGGGAAGCCGGCTTCCTGGCCAACCGAATCGAGCCGGCCGAACAACCTACTCCTTGCTGATTGGCTGAAAAGCCAGCTTCCTGGCCAACAGCATCGAGCCATCCAAACAGCCTACTCCTGATTGCCGGCTTTGCAGTCAATCAGCATGGAGCCGACTTCCTGGCCAATCAGGATGCGGGTCATTACTAACTGCCCGGCTTCCTGATTGTCTGGGAAGCCGGCATCCTGGCCAACCGCATCGAGCCGGCGGAACAGCCTACTCCTTGCTGATTGGCTGAGAAGCCAGCTTCCTGGCCAACAGCATTGAGCCATCCAAACAGCCTACTCCTGATTGCCGGCTTTCCAGTCAATAAGCATGGAGCCGACTTCCTGGCCAATCAGGATGCGGGTCATTACTAACTGCCCGACTTCCTGATTGTCTGGGCAGCCTCCTCCTTGCTGATTGACTGTGAAGCCGGCTTCCCGGCCAATCGACAGCAAGCCGGCCAAACAACATTGAGGCGGCTTCCTGGTCAATCAGGAAGCTGGGTGGGATGTCGGTACCGCTACTCGGTATCGGCAAGTACCGAAAGCAAAATATTGGTACTTGTACTCGATACCGAAAAGCCGGTATCGGTGCATCTCTAGTAATCTATGTATGATTTTTCACTGTGACTCTGGGAGAGGTGATGGCTTAAAAATATACATACTGTAAAATATACTGATGTTATATATGCAAGGTACCTTAAAAGTTCCATATAGGCTCATTTTCTATGTGTTTTCTATC